GACGTTTTATTGAAGACGAAGATAACAGATCTGATCGTTCGTTAACACCGTATTTGTCGGACGTGTCGGACGACAAGCCGTCGCGAACCAAACCCGGGCCGCACTCTAGCAAAGCGTCATCGCGTGCGGGCCCGGCCTCGTCAAAGCCCGGACCCAAGTCTAGCAAAGCCGCGCCCAAACCCGGACCCAAATCAAGTAAAGCATCGGCTCCGGCGGCCGCCAGACCCGGCCCTAAGTCTAGCAAAATAGGGCCCAAATCGTCGAAGAAATCCGATTACATTGCACTCGATTCTGACGCGTCGGACGCCGAAGACTACTACACGTCGAGCGCGCGCTCGCGAAGAAGTGGCGCCAAAGCAGTCAATTATGACGACACTAATGAGAGGACGTCAACCATATATAGCAGCTCTAAGACCAAACCCAAAGCGGCCGCCAAACGAAAGCCAGGTTTGAATTGTTTATTAGGAAACTTATAAGTTGTTTGATTTGTAACATTGATTTCTATCATTAATATACAGCCGCGAGAACTACAGCTAAACAATTGGCAGATGAGGTGCAGTCGGCCATCGATTCAATCACTCCATCCTTTGATTCGGACGACAATGTGTCGTATGGGAAGAGCTATTCAAACAACATATTCAGCTCCACTTCGGACTACTTGTTGTCACCGAAAATGGTTTGGCGTGAGTTCGACGCCGATATCATTCAAGTGGACGAAAACTATTACCCGACGTCAAGCATAGACGCTATGGTGACCACTGATCCCAAAGTGTCGTTCAAACTCACTCCAGACTATATCATTAAACCATATCTGGAGCGATACGATAATAATCAGGACTACTGGGACACCGTTCGCGCGGAGTTGGATCTCGGACTCAATGGCGGCGGCAGTGGAGGCGGTGGTGGTGTCCGGAAGGGCCGCACCGGTGGCACCAAAAGTAAGGGTGCGCTTAAAGATTTTTATACTTTACCGCAATTGAATGAGAGGGCGATATCTAAAAGCCCCGAAAGGCCGGCGCCGGCCCCGAAAGCCACTGCCGCTAGTAAAAAGTCCGCCACCAAAAAGCCATCCAATAGAGCGGCGGACGAAGTGGCGAGACTCGTGTCCGAGGCGTCAGATTTAATTAATAAACCGTTGGGCAAAAGGGGCGCCCAATCCAAACCGGTGGCGAAGGCCACTCCGGCCCCCAAACCCAAAGCGGCGCCAGTGGTCGCTAAGAAATCTGTGCCGCCTAAAGCCGTCGGCGGCTCTAAGTCTAGGTCGAGCGCTAGTAAATCGAAATCGCGTGCGAAGAGCGGCGGCGGTGCAAAAGCCGGCGTTCGCGACACTTCCCGAAACCGTAACTCTAAGCGGTCGTCGGCGAGACAGCGGGTGCCGCGCGGTGTGACCAGCGCTACGGTGTTTAACGCCATTAGCATTCCCTTCTATGAGTCAGACATTGTGTCCGTCACTGATCTGACGGGACATAAGAAACGCTCTCATCTGAAATCTCTGTGCGACGACTTCGAGCTAAGTGTCGACAAACTGCCCGAACGCTATCTGAACCGTTATCGTCACCACGAGATCAGTCCATTCCTGTTCGACAATATCTATTACAACGACTACAGCGGTCTTCTGCCCGACGAAGAGTCGCAGTTCACTCAGGATGTGCTGATTGTTATGAAAGAGTTGGTCTCGTCTGTGGTGTCGGTCTCGCAGTGTGTGAATCAAATAGTGAAAGACGTGGAGCAAGAGATAGAGCCGCAGCCTATGATAGACATTGACGAGTACTACGAGTCACCCGTCGATGAGGGCAGCAATGACTGGAATTATGAAGAAGAGGAACAGGAAGTGATTGGCATCGCTGTCGATGAGTACGGCGTGGCTATCGGTGCCGTTGAGAAGAACAATGACCAGAGCTATGAGACGACGGCCAATGTGTTTGAGAATGGGATCAACGGAACGGCTGATCCGTTAAGTGAGGCATTGCTGAAGACTTTCGGTGAAGATAATGACGACAACAACTCTAATGACGGGGAAGTGAACGGCGAAACTGTTCCCAATAACGGCGAAGAAGAGGAGGGCCAGCAGGAGGTGGAAGATAATGGATATGAAAGCCACTGCCAAAGGGCTGTGCAACACAGCGATGACGAAGGCATTGAAGAGTCTAACGAACAAATAGCCCAAGAAGTGGAGAAGTTGTGCGCTGACACTCAACCACTACAACACCGTTACTCCGAAATCACTCCATTGGAGAACTCGAATGATTCTTCTGTTGAACAAAACGCCGCCGAATATCAGACCAATCAATACGAAGGACAGGAAGAGGGGGAAGAAGATGATGAGGAGGAGGACCCGAACTCTAACCAATCAAACGGTCTGCCCGGCGATCAATGTCTGGAGCCGTTCTCCACGGAACCGGTGAGTCAGCCGAGTCCACTGCGACAGTTCCGTATGTCGTCGACCAACTATAACACACAAGTGTACGACCCGTACAACAGCGGATCAGCACCGGCTCAGAGTCAGCCGCAGTACCACCAGAACCCACTTCAGAATCCAATTGTGCCAACACTACAGGTGCCGCACAACACAGTCGGTCACTATCCCAACGCTAACCTCTTCGCCGCGCAACAGAGTTGGCCGCAAACTGTGCCGGC